GCCTATATATGGTCAAGATGTGATGTCATCATGACCATATTTAGGTATTAATGTGAATTTACCTCTACTGATGATTTATCCCTTGCATTGGTCCCCTTGTAGTTCGCATTGACATCACCTCTCAATTCTGTATCATGAAAGTTAAAAAAAAATTATTAATTAATGTAAATTAAATTTATTTTTACATGTATATATTATTTTGGAAGTGGTTATTCTTACATCAGTCTTAATGCAATTTCAAAGATTACGCAAGTAAAAGCACTTTATTTGAATGCATGACAGGTTCAGGTAAAAAGCAAAAATGGGGACCTTAGTATCCCTTCAAGTGGTAGCATCAGCAGGGGAAGGGGATTTAAGTATTTTGAATCCCACCAGGGATTCACCCTTACCCCCCCTGCTCTCTATCAGTTTTTCCCCCACCCACTTCAGGAAAAATCTTGCGCCATGCACCTTTAAACTATGATTCACTCCCTTAACCCTTTCTATTAATGATAGTGTTTCATAGTGTCTGGAATAATTACAGGTTGGAGTTTATACTAAAAATAATAACGAGCTCCACAGATATTTCCAATTTCATATAATTTAAGTACGAAAGTGCATTAGCACTTTCATAAGGACAATAAACTTTGCCAGACGGTTGTAAAAATTACCACTGCCCACTGTACTTCTTGAACAGACCTAAAGTATGACTTACATCATTAGAACATAATCATTATTATGTATTAAAATAGCTGACTATGGTGCGATGGCAGATGTTTGAATTATATAGCAAAAAAACTTCTGAATGAGTGAACCTCATAAAAATGAAAGGCCATCAAAAATTTGAATGAAGAAAAGGTGTGTAGAGAATGGAAGGTGATAATAATTAAGCAGAGGCCTGTGGTGCGAAATTCCAAAGCGTGAAAGTCTGAACTGTTTCCATGAAGTGTACTGAATTTTAAAAAGTCATCAACTCCACACACATATGTGAGATATGACCCTACATGAGCTTGTCACTCTATTTACAATTTCATTGCTTGTCACCTAAACACCCCCACAGTCCCATTTGGGTTGTGTTCCCATGAAACCTGCACAAAATTGCCACTTTAAAATCAATAATTAAGTTGTCAGGTAATTTTTAAAGTATTAAGTTCATATACAGCTATCATTTGTCAAAATTTTAACATCTGAAATCTAAAATTCACAATTCCATTGCATTTTTAATATGTTATGGTTGGTTGCTATAGCATATTTTGTAAGTTCACTGCATCTGCCCTCATACGTGAAATGTATAACTTGCGCACTGAAGTTTGAAGCTGATTTTCTCACCAGCGATAATACAGATAATTTACATTTAATTGCTCATTATACATTAATTCAAACTAATAAACTCTAATAAGTTATTTATCAATCTAAAGCTAACAAATTACAGAATTTAATTACATAGAAAAAAAAACATTAGGTTTCGTGGAAACATGTCACATATGGCCTTTGTATAATACAGTGCATATGACTAGGAAACGAATGTTGTATCACATTGAATGATAAGAATTTCTTGAATTATAAATTTATGATTAATGAAGATGTGTTGAAATTAGTAAATGAAGAAAGACAATTATTTAGAGTGAATATACAAAGGCAGTTAAGAATAAGGGCATGTACTCCGTGAGGATGTCTAGAAAAACTGACAATAGAAGGTAAAACCAGATAGAGAAATTGACAATAGAAGGTAAAACCAGATAGAGGGAACCAGAGCTAGGGGAAGGCAAAGGAAAAGGTATTTAGATGACTTAATACTGTCACCTGGGCAAGGGAAAATGGATCTCATTCATGCAGTCAATAATAGAGACAGGTTCAAAGACATGGTTGCCAACGTCAGTATCTGACAAGATATTTGGAGAAGATCAGATTGGCAGTTTGTGAATGTTCTATATGAAAATTCATGTAGAAAGGACTTGGCCATAGCATGATAGGGCTTTGCGTTTTAAAGATGTATTGTCCATTAAAATGACAAAAAATCATTAAAAAAAATAATTTTGAAATTAACTGTTCATTTTGGAATAGCATGCAAATTATGAATTTGAGCTTAGAAATTACTGAATTTCATTTTTCCCTCTAAAATTACAGGTAATTTTTTTTTTAAATACACTAATTTATATATTCAAGTTGATAATGTTTATGTTACTTCAAAATGAGCAAGTTAATTCCAAAAATGTTTTTTTTAATTAATTTTTTGTATTTTGCATGGGACAGTACCTTTTAAAGATGTTAATATCAAATAGTTTCCTAAGTCAAAATAAATTTCCTATTTATAATTCTAAGATTCTATGGTTGATTTATAAATAGGAATTTGTGTAAACATGTATATCAAAATAAATTTCTATTTATAATTCAAATAGTTTAACATTGATTTACTCCCAGCTTCATCAACTCTTGAAAATATGCAGCACTATATTCTAATAATACATTCATATTTCCAAATGTCACCAAAAGTATTTTCAATATTCTCAATATGTATGTAATCAACTAACATATTTATAGAAAACACGATATTTATTTAACTGAATATAAATGAAAAGTACAGATGATATTATTTGAGAAAACTGAAAAAAAAAAATGATTAGTTTGATTCTGTTAGTAAAAATTTATGAATTAAAATTGGGAAAAAGCAAATTTGTTAAACATGCTGGCAACGAATAATGCTTCAACACACAAATGCTAGGATTATTTTTAATGAATATTCATATTCATTAGCTTTCATAAGCACACTTATTTTTCTTATAACTATTGTATAAAAACAATATACACATAATGAATGATTCATCATTTTTAATTAATCACAAAAAAAACACATTGCTGCTAGGCCCTAACTATTATTCCTTAAGGATTTCGTATGAGCAGGAGGTCCAAAGTAACCTACTGTAGACACCCTGGTAGGATACAGGAGAGAGGTCTTTTGGGGTCAGGGGATTCACATTCATTTTATTTATCATATAAAAGCAATATGAAAGTATTTCCTGGGTATGGGTTTGTTACAATGTAACTCTATGGACCACAAGTATTTCAGCATGCCAATATTAAATTTCATTATTAATTTGATTGTTATCTATGCAGGTGGTTTAGATTATCCGAGAGTTGTTCATTCAAAAAAGGGGATTGTCTGAACCATAGTGGCATGCATTGTGCAAATTTTTATCTTGACTGCATCAGACAAGATGGATGGACCTAGAAGCAGTAGCGGATCACACCAGATGGAGGATGGTAATGAGACAACCCGACCCAATCCCACCTCCCCCATTCGTACTTCAGTTAAAATGATTTAACTAATGAACAGTGCTCATAAAAAATCATTCTGATTGTCCTACAAATAATGCAAGTCATACAAGACTCTTCTGTGGCGCCAAGTTTGATCCCTGTTCTGAGTATTTCGTCAACTTCTCTTTCAAATTATAATATAGCATTAGACCAACTTTCGTTGTTCTCAGTGTTTTCTTCTGTTCACTGTGTCAATAGTTCTTTAACTTTACAGGGCTAATATAATGTTGGTGTACCACAAGATGCAGAAAACATTTTGTATTTTTCAAAAAAATATGTCTAAACACTAAGCGTAGGATTTTGTATTGTGATCAATTACATTGGTAAAGCGACCCACCAAAGTTGACAAAACGACTGTTAAACTGATGGCACAAGCCAGTCACTGGTAATACGATTAAGAGTGTAATTTCAAATTGCCAAAAAACCCCTTCAAATAGACCTAAATTAATGATAACTTATCACATGCTGAAGATTATCTTTGGCATGTGAGGTCAACTCTAAAAAAATGGTCTGAAGCATAGCCTATAATACAAGGTCTGACTAGTTCAACCATCATGACTTTTATGATGCTAAATTTAACCCATAACATTTGGAAATACAATCCCAGCCTACATGTAGCGCTCATTAATAGTGGACAAGCTAATTGCTAATTAAGCCCATCCCCTCAGAGAATGACCAAGTAATTTATCTAATTGAGTTCGGAGCTCAGAAAATAAGATTATTTCTATAAAACAAGATATGTGTATCAACGCAATTGCTCAT